CCTCCTTCACATACCCGACCCCCTCCTCCTTCCTGCCACCCTCAATGTGTTCCGATCGATCTTCATGGCTTTGCACCGAGACTAGTAACGCTAGTAAATTCTACGGACTCTTTTTACGGTGTTTGCGCTTTTCCACCTTTCCTTCTATTTTCTCTCTCTCTCTCTCTCTCTCTCTCTCCCTCTCTCTATCTACTTATCTCTCTCTACTCTTTCATATTAACTTCGTATTTCTCTTTTTTTTCCTTTCTTTTTTCTTCTTCTCCTTCTTATTCTTTTATTTCTTCTTCTATCTCTTCTTGTTCTTCTTCTTCTTCTTCTTCTTCATCTTCTTCTTCATCTTCTTCTTCTTCTTCTTCTTCTCCTCTCTCTTTCTATTACATGCATACTTCGGAAACACCGTTAGAATATTCCGCGAGGAAGGCGTGACAACACTCGGTTTAACTGGCGTGTTACGCGTTCACATCCACGGACAATGGGAAAAGAAATAATTTTCCTTTACGCCAAGGAGAGACACGGCCGACGGAGTATCTTTCTATTCGCTTAGTGATTACGGAAATAATCTTCTTGAGATTTGAGAAAGGAGGTAGGAAAGATTTTTCTTCTTCGTTTTTTTTTTCTTTTCCTTTTCTTTTGTTTTTTTGTTTTTCTTTCTCATTTCTTCCTCTCTTTCTATCCTTTTTTTTTCTTCCATTTCTTTTTTTTCCTTTCGTTTTCACCAAAAAGAAAAAGAGAAAGAGAATGAAAGAAAGAAAGAAAGAAAGAAAGAAAGAAAGAAAGAAAGAAAGAAAGAAAGAAAGAAAGAACATAGGACGTAGTGAAAATTATACGAGGATTTAAAGGAATTTAAATCCCTTTTATTGCACACCAAATTGAGAATCTAAGAAATATATGTGTATGTATATCTATGTATTTATGTATATATATATGTATGTATGTATGTATGTATGTATGTATGTATGTATGTATGTGTGTACGTACGTGTTTGTTACATGTATGTAACTATTTTGTTCGAGAATCGAATAATTTGTCGTTGCTTTTTCTTCTTACGGCTCCTTTTGCGGTTAGAATCTAACGGTACTTAATATTGGTGGTGTTGTTGTTATCTTTTTTTTATCTATATAAAAGAGAAAGAGAGAGAGAGGGGGGGTAGAGGAGGAAGGAGGGAGGAAGAGAGAGAAAGAGAGATAGAGAGAGAGAGAGAGAGAGAGAGAGAGAGAGAGAATAAAACGATTGAATATTTTACCTGAACATATTTGTTTCTTTTTTTTTTTTTCGGATTTGTACTTGTTCTTCTCTGTTCGCCATTTAAAATTCTGCTTTTGGTATTTTTTTGTTTTTTCTTTTCTTTCTTTCTTTTCTTTTTTTTTTGTTTTTTTCATCAAAATTCATTCGATAATAAATAAGTACGAATGGAAATATTATCCAACGAATTTGATGATACATCATCCATACGGGAACTATGACATTGTTGAAACGATTTATTACGACGTACGACGGCCAAGGTATACGATATAGAAAAGTGTCTTTGAAGAAAAATTGAGTCAATGGAAAGATAGAGAAAAAGACAGAGCAAGAGAGTGAGAGAGAGAAAGAGAGAGAGAGAGAGAGAGAGAGAGAGAGAGTGAGAGAGAAATGGAGAGAAAGAGAGTAAAGAAGAAAGAGAAAAAAAGAAAGAGAGAAAGAGAAAGAGGAGATCCTCTTTATTTAGAAAGAGTGCTGCTTGCTTTTTCTCATGAGACGATCATCATTGTAGCAACCCAGACCACTGTATTTGGGTCAAAGCGGTGGGGCACGCCGGACCTCCCAGTTTCCCGTGCTCGCAAGCCGCAACCGCCTTTTTTGCGGTTTCGTGTCGCCTCTCTCATTGTCAGAGAAGCAGGTATTATGAGCACATTCTCTGTCTCTTTCTCTCTCCCTCCTTCCTTTCTCCCTCCCTCTCTCTCTCTCTCTCTCTCTCTTTCTTTCTGTTTAACTCTCTTACTCGTTCACTCAGAAGATGCAAGATGGCTAAAAGGGTGACCCAAAATGGAGGAGTACACGAGAAAAGAATGAACGAACATAATCAATTGCTTTAAAGTTGAATTGTTTAAAAATTATTATTATTATTATTGTTGTTTCTTTTTCTCTCTTCTCTTCTCTCTTTTTCTTTTTCTTCTTCCTCTCTCTCTCTCTTTCTCTCTCTCTCTCTCTCTTTCTCTGTCTTTTTTCCTTCCTTCTGACATCTGCTTTGAATTGTTTCGTACGCGATGATAATCGAAACGAATGAAAAATATTTATAACAATTTTGACGAAACGCGCGTAAGTATTTAAATTAACGTTTTCACTTTAGTAAACGTGTTGAACGTTCGGGAGACGTTCGAGAAAGAGTGAGAGAGACAAAGAGAGAGAGAGAGAGAGAGTGAGAGAGAGGGAGGGAGGGAGAGGGAGAGAGTAAGAGAAAGATAATGATTTTTTCATTCCCCTTTCGTCCCACTGATCCAAACCACTCAACGGGTTCAACGACGAAGACGTCGAGGGCACCTTTTGCTTCTCTCCTTTTCGGAGGAGATCTTCCTCTCTCTCTCTCTCTCTCTCTCTCTCTCTCTCTCCTCTCAACTCTCACCACCCTTCCTTCCTCTCTCCTCCTCTCGTCTCCCCGAAATCGTCTCTTTCTCCTTCTTCTTCTCCCTTCTTCAACTCGAAGAAGAGAGTTGCTTCATCCGAAAAGGAGGGACCACGGTGATTACACCGAGCCACCGTGATTGCCGAGATCGTTGGACTCACGAAAATGTCATTAGGATTTCATTATTTTCAAGCGCCTTGAGGAACGACCGCTCAACGAGTTTATGCAATGTTTTCTCTCTTTTTTCTTTCTTCGTTTCTTTCTTTGTCTCTCTCTCTCTCTCTCTCTCTCTCTCTCTCTCTTTCTCTCTGTCTCTTTCTCTTACTCTCTTTCTCTTTCTCCCTTTATCTTTCTTTCTCTCTCTTTTTCTTTCTCACAGAGACTGAACAAAGTAGGTCGAGCAAAGTAGTTGAGCAACTGTCACAGGGGATCTACCGTCGTACGATTGGCATTTACAAAAGGGAGAGAGAAACAGAAGAAGAAGAAGATTATGAAGAGAAAGAAAAAAAGAAAGAAGGAAGGAAGGAAGGAAGGAAGGAAGGAAGGAAAGAAGGAAGGAAGAAAAAAAGAAAATATTAGAAGAAGAATTAAGAATAAGAACGGATGATGATAATAATAATAAGAAGAATAGATCATTCTTTTTTTTTTTCTTTTTTTTTTTTTTTTTTCCTTTAAGATCGAAGAAAAATTTTTGCAAAAAAATCGAGATTATTTCTGATCGAGATGAATTGCTTGAGAAAAGAGAAAACGAAGGATAGATAGAACGCTAGAGAGAGAGAGAGAGAGAGAGAGAGAGAGAGAGAGAGAGAGAAAAGAAAGAGAGAACTCTCCATCTTGGTCTTCAACAAAAAAGGAGCTCCAGCTCTTCCGTCCGACCGAAGGATAATTATTATAATCGCCGAGAGCGTAGTGGCAGCTCGCTCTCGTAGTTCCCTTTCGGTGATAGTAATACGCATTTGCCGACGCCTAATGGTATTATTATAATAATTACCAGCGGTCGGTCGGGGACGAGCGGGCGAGAGAGCGGGGGAGCGAGCGAGCAGCGAGCAGGCAAGCGGGCGGACGGGCGGGTGGCCGGGCGGGCGGGTGGGTTGAGTGGGTAAGGTGGAGGAGAGCGGGAGGTTACTGGAATTAGACGCTTAATTAAGTTCGGGGTCTCGAAAGTGCGAACTCGCGAAACCCTTTCGTCGCGTCTCTGCGACATTCACTCTCTTCGTTATCCGATAATTTGCCGATTTATATTTACATTATGCATGTTATATATTTCATTCATTTTCTTACAATAAGAGAGATCGAAATGATCTATGACGCGTCACGAGCGAGCATTATTCTTCTAAAAAGAATTTTCTTCGTTATTTCATCCTTTTTCACTTACCCTCCCCTCCCTCCGCCCCGTTTCTATTTATTTCATTTTATTTTATTTTATTGTTTTTTGTTTCTTTCTACATCCTCTTCACTTTTCTTACCATTTCTATTCCCCTACCCTCCCTTTACGCCCCCTTTTTTTTCCCCCCCTATTTCATTTTTTTTTTTTTTTTGGAATTCGACGCGCAGTATTCAAAAGAGGGGAACGAGTTCGAGGAGCGTAGCTTTAAAATCACACAGGGAAATGTCTTCTTGCTGTTTTATCTTCTTCAATGTCATATGTCATGTACATAAGCAACAACATAGCTTTGCACGAATACAATTTAAAACGATACGTACGTACGTTCGTTCGTTCGTTCGTTCGTTCGTTCGTTCTTTCTTTCGATTGATCGATCAATCGATCGATCGATAGCAATGTTGCCTTGAGCATGCATTTTTTTTTCCTTTTTTTTCTCTTTTCTTTTTCCTTTTTTTTTTTTTCTTTTCTTATTTTTTTGTCAAGGTCCGATGATGCGTCGAAAAGGAACTAATAATAATGACAGGTCGATCATTTTATTTATTTTCTTTCCCTTTTTTTTCTCTCTTTGTCGCCTATCTTCACACACGATAACGCGCGCTATGCGATGTCATAGGGGGGAAAAAAAAAGAAAAAAGGAAGAAAAAGAAAAAAAAAAAGAAAGAAAAAGAAGAAAAAGAAAAGTAAAGAAAAATAATGCGCGACGACGATACCGTTCGTGACATTTTATCCTCATTTTTCCTCTCTCTCACTCTCACTCTTACTCTCTCTCTCGGTCTGTAATATTTTTTCGTTTTTTCGTAAATTTCTTTTTGTTCGCTCCCTCTCCCCTTCCCTACTACCCCTCTAACGATACCATTAAACGTCACAAAATTTCTCACCTAAATCTATACGAGCCACCTTACACGTCTTCTTCTTCTTCTTCCTCTTCTTCTTCTTCTTCTTCTTCTTTATCTTCATCTTCTTCTTCTTTTTTTGTATTATTTTATTTATTTATTTATTCATTTATTTATTTATTTATTTATTTATTTATTTATTTATTTATTTATTTATCTTTTTTTTTTTTTTTACACAATTCGCGAATCAATCGATCCAATGTCGATTTCACAAGTGTCAGAAAGTCGATTATTTTTCTCTAACAGACCCGTCCCACCCCTTCCCCCCACCCTCCTGAACGATAATTAAATCCTTATCGCGTGACCTTTTTCTTTCATTCCCTCCCCCCCTCTTCCCCCTCTCGTCCACATATTTTTCTTCTTTCTCTATTATTTCCTCTCACTACTCCCCTTCTTTTTTCTCCTTTTCTTTCTTTTTTCTTTTTTTCTCTTTTCTTTTTGTTTTTCTTTTTTTTCTTTTTTTTTTCCCAACGAGAAGAAAAAAGATTTACGAAACGTCCATCCACGTAAATAGATTTCTTTTTATTTTTTCTTTTTTTTTTCTGTCATCTACGACATGGGAAGAAGGGGGGTTGTACACACAACAAACGCGCGCACGCAGGCACACACACGTCACACTGTTATCTTTCTCTTACTATATATATATATATATATATATATATATATGTATATATATATATCTCTTTCTCTCTCTCTCTCTCTCTCTCTCTCTCTCTCTCCCCTATTCTTTCTCGCTCTTTCTTTCTTCTTTGAAAAACGACTCAAAAAGGATATTTAACGTTTAACGCGATTTCCCTTCGTGATAGGCGCCACGAAGTATCTGGTACGTCCTCTATACCATGGCGGACAACTTCCTCCTCCTCGACTCGATTCGGGGGACGTCTTCGTTAAACCGCCGGCCACACCCTGTAACATATCACAGAGAAAAGTAGTTAATCACCGTACCCCGTACCATCCTTCTCTCAACGTTGATTCGTTAATAAGGAGCTCTATCAACGCTGACGAAAAAAAAAATAAAAATAAAAAGAAAAAAATAAAAAAAAAAAAATAAAAAAAAAAAATAAATAAATAATTTCTCAGCCTCGTCGTAGCCCATTGGTAATTATCTTTTGACTTTTCATTAACTCGTAACAACATTCATCGAAAGAAAATAAAGAAAAGTTATTCTCAGTATTTTTGTTTTGCTTCTTTACAATTTTCTCTCTCTTTTTATTTTTTTTTTTTTGGTCTTTTCTTGCCTCATTTCGTTTCGTTTTCTTTTAGCTTTTCTTTTTCTCTCTCATTATATATCTGGAATTTATATATACATACGTGCATATATATATATATATATGTATATAAAATTCATAAAAGGAAAAGATATATATATATATATATATATATATATATATATCTATTACTAGATTATCAATTTTGTAATCTGTAGAATTTTAATGAAAAGTAAATATAATACCATTTCGGTCGTCCTAGATTTTGTAGACATAGATGTCTACGAAACTCTCCACTCTTTCCACCTCTCAAAGTGCGAAGGGTTCTCATAGAATGCCGGGATTTTTATAGAATGCATTGATTAGTCAAGTTAGGAAGTAAAAGGAATATATAATAAGAGAAAGACAAAGACAGAAACGGATAATTAGACAAAAAGAGAGAAAGAGAGAGAGAGAGAGAGAGAGAGAGAGAGAGAAAGTGAAATAAAAAAAATATATATATAAAAGAAAAAAAAAGAAAAGAATAAAATGATAAAAATAAAACTCACGTGAGTAGTCCAGGATTAGGATCGGCCTGATACCAAGAATATTGCGGCATATAACCCGCGTGATGTGGAGGTGGAGGTGGTGGAGGTGGATGATGTCCAGGCGTGTGTGGATGATGGTGAGTATGTGGTGGGGCATGAGGATGAGGATGGTGCTTCATCTCGCCCGGCCAGGCGGGCGCGGGTGGGCTCTCGTTATGCTGAGGCGACATCTCACTACCGGGACTCGAACTTCCGGGGGTGTGACCTCCACCACCGCCCCCCATACCACCAAGGTATCCCGTCGTCGGACTACCCGAGACAGAACTTCCACCTCCTGTTAACATAACCGACCAGTCTTTGTTAACTCGTTAAGATCTATTCTAATTCTCTTTATTTCTCTATTCGCATAATATTATAGATTAGATTCGAGATCGTATAATTTATCGTTTAACGAAGATAAATCTTTCTTTTTTTTGTTTGTTTCTTTTTTCTTTCTTTTTTTTTTTTTTTTTTTTTTTTTTTTGATCATTCATATATACGTGATATCGTCTCGATCGATTTTGAAAATAATAATTAACGCTGGAACTATCGTGATAAGGAATAACAAACAAACAAAACAAAAAAAATAATAATAATTTAAATTTATTAAAAATATGAATTTATAGTTCGAGCGTTAATAATTTCATTTATATGATGATAGATAATATTTATTACCTCCTTGCATGAGACTCCCTGGTTGACCAGGTTGAGGAGATGGTCCACCAGGTAAGGCAGTACCACCGGCGAGCAAACTACCGTGTTGTCCACCACCACCGCCTCCACCTTGCTGTGCCGCCTTCATCATTTTCTTATATTTACTTCTCCTATTTTGGAACCATATTTTTACCTGAAACAAAAAACATTATTATAATTATTATTTATTTAATTTTATTTATATCCAGGACAATTGTCATTTCGATATTTATAATATACAAAGATACTTGAAGTAATTCAATTAGTTAGATTATTATACGAAAGACAAGGAGGATGAAGAGAACGAAGAAAAAGATAAAGAAAAAGAAGAAAAAGAAGAAGAAGAAGAAGAAGAAGAAGAAAAGAAAGGAAAAGAGGAACGTATACGTTTCGTAATCATTCGTGTCGTTCCTTTTTCCTCTCTTTACTGCCTACACATAAAACGTAGTCCTGGAACGGATACCCAATGCGCATGTACCCGACTACTGGGATTGCACATGCGGTATTTTTTGTCTCCTCGAAGTGCACACATGCGCTCTATGCACGTGACGTTCTTCGTGGTCTTACGTAAGTTTCGCATCGTACTGAGTCAAGCTACTACGTATCTACGTACATAAGTACATACGTAAGTATTTATATATCTACACACACACACACACACACATATATATATATATATATATGTATATATATATATATATACATATGTATGTTTGAGTGTCCTCAGTTCGAGAAACATGAGAATAATAATATTTTTATTTTATAGGATAAGCCGGATCAATCTTAAAGTACATTTTTATGATTTTATTTTGAATTTCGAATATCGTCAATGTCGACAGAAGAAAAAAATCTAAATCATTCGTCGTAAATACGTACGTACGTACGTATAAATAAATAAAATAACATAAACGCATTCGTCTATTTACAAACGATTATTGCCAATTTTATGAGTTATGATAAATCGTGGAAATTTTTTTATTTTCCATAATCTTTATGTTCGACATTTTTTTTCTTCTTCTTTCTTTTTTTTTTTTTTGTATCGAATTTTATTGACAGTCATTGCAGCAACAGGTGTTTATTCTTTCCCTTTCTCTCTCTCTCTCTCTCTCTCTCTCTCTCTCTCTCTCTCTATCTCTATCTCTCTCTCTCTCTCTCCTACTCCTCGTTACATCCCTCATACCTTTTTACACGTTCCTTATATCATAGAGATCCTTACATTTTATTATCTCCTTCAGAATAATCATTTAATATTTTGTTATCCGTTAAATAAGTCGATATCCGTTGTTATTTTAAGCGAATAAAATTTTTCTAAATTATTCCAAACGATCTAATCTTTTCCTTCCCTTACTCTTCAGTCCCCGATCGCAGTAAAAATAATATCTATCTTATATTTAGAATAAATAAATTAGAATGATAAAATGTCGCTTGACAAATATCAAATTTATTCTATATAGGATAGAAAATGAAAAATAAAATGGTGAAAGAAGAAAAGGAAAAAATGAGAAAAAAGAAAGAAGGGGGACAATTTTGTTGTTTTTCAAATTATCATAGAAAGTGATTGTATAAATATCGAAATAATTCGAAATGTAATAACCTGAAAGGGAATCGAGGAAAGGAAAGAGAAAGAAATAGGTTTAATCAGCCGGGAGGGGTTCAATCAAAAAGAATAGCACAGGTTACTTTAATTAACAAAGTCGGGTGCGGCCGTAGGCGCGACGACTACAACCAACTACTATCAACGACAATGACGTTGAGAGGAGGAGGTGGAGGAGGAGGTGCAACGTTGTCGAGGAGAAAGGAAGGGCGAAGGAGAAGTGAAAAGGGATTATAGTAGGAGAAAGAAGGATGATAGGAAGGAAGGAAGGAAGGAAGGAAGGAAGGAAGGAAGGAAGGAAGGAAGGAGGGTGCTCAGAGAGGGCAGAAATTCTCGAAGAAGGAGCGCGAGGCGTCGTCACGTCAAAACGAGTTCATTAAAACCGCAGTGCGGGCTCGCCTTGAGCGCAGAAGAAACGCACCGCTCGTGCGGCATTGTTTCACGTTTTATATGGCGAACCACCGAGGCAAAACCTCGCCTATACTACGTGCATCACGTACATTTACACATAAATGTGTTACTGTGTATGTGCCCTAGGAACGCGAACACGTACTGGATAAATGCGATTTTTATATGTGTAGAAGAGAGAGAGAGAGAGAGAGAGAGAGAGAAAATGAATTTACGCGAATTAAATGGAAAGAAAAGGAAAAAAAAAAAAGAAGAAATTTCTAAGTATTATAAAAAAAAAAAAAAGAAAAAGCAAAATCTTTCCGATCATGATAAATTAGAAATTAAATTAATCAATTATGTCTCATATTAGGAGAGAGATTTTTTTTTTTTTTTTTTTTTTTGGGGGGAAAGAAGAAAAAAAAATTTTCTTTTCTTTTCGAAATCGTACCTATAAACTCACCGTGGCAAATAATTTAATCGTACGTCTCATTTAATTCGCATTAAATTAATAAATCTTTGATATATTATTTTCCATTTATAGATATTTTAAAATCCGTTTGGATATCTCTTGTTAGATGTATGTAGGTATCTTTTTTAAAAGTATCCCGAAAACTATAGGAACAAGAAAGGCACAGGTTAAAAGAGAGAATACAACAAATCTCTACCTTTTATCGAGGAGTGCCGGCATACCTGGCAAATAAATCTCTTTCTAATTGCTCGTTGAAAAAGTTGACTGTGCTTTGCACCGACAAAGGTTCCGAGCTGCTAGAACCCTTTCCTCGACGTGCTTTATTTCGTTACGCGTGTCGAGACGAAAAAGAGAAAGAAAGAAGGAGAGAGAGAGAGAGAGAGGAGAGAGGAGAGAGGAGAGAGAAAGAGAGAAAGAGAGAGAGAAAGTCTATCGAAATAAGAAAGTATGTTAGAAAAGGATAGCAAAAGAGGCTGTCGTTTTAGCAGCTTTGTTTATTGATATTTACAACCAACCCGTGTTCTGTACCAAGTTACAATATAAAACTTCGAACTACTATATAAAAATGTCCTTCGTCCTTTCTCCTAAACCTTTCTTTTTTTATTTTCACTTAATCCACCCTTTCTTTTTCTTCCTACGACTTCTTAAATCTTCCCCTTTTTTTAATTAAATTATATATATGTATGTGTGTGTGTGTGTATTTCTTTTCTTGTCTTATGAAGGATAAAAATTAACAACTGCATGGATTCTTAAGAATTACAATTTCAAAAAAAAAAGAAAAAAAAAGAAAAAAGAAAGAAAAAAAATAGCCCGATTAAATGTTAATCGTCGATCAACAATAAATATCTAAATAAATTTAATTCGAATAAATTTAATCGAGTACATACGTATACATTTGATTATTAAATTATCGTGTATATATGTATATATTTGGTGATCAAAAAAAAAAAAAAAAAAGAAAAAGGAAAAGAAGAAGAAAAGAAAAAAATGATCTAACCCTAGCATTCACTGATTATTATTATTATCATCGTCGTTATTATTAATGTCATTTCGTTAAAATTTGGAAAAAAATTCTTGGAGCAGGATTTGGAACAATTTGTTTGTTTGTTTGTTTGTTCGTTTCTTTCTTCCTTTTTTTCCTTTTTCTTTCTTTTTTGTCTTTTTTTTTTCTTTTCTTTTCCCTTTCCCTCCTCTAATTAATGTAAAAATATACTCTTTAGGACTAAGAGAACGCACAATTTAATAGCTCTCGTTAATACACCCCTATATACTTCGTTACGATACTTTACTGTGCGAAGCTCTTTTTTATTACGCGTTAAGGCAACACCGGTAGCATATCTGTCTCGTAAATCCAGCATTATATTTTGACGCCTGCCACGATCATTCTCGAACGATAATAAAATACGGAAGGCTCGTTGCGTATAGCGATATCTCGATTTACACGTAACACCAAAGTGATTCGATGTATCTCTCTCTCTCTCTCTCTCTTTCTCACTTTTTCTATATTTCTAATTTTAATGCATATCCATATACTTTTATATATCGAACTCGAATGAAAACGAAAGAAAATTCTCCTCTTAGTCGTGTAAAAAAAAAGAAAAAAAAAGAAGGATTCGACCTAACTGACTCCTTCAAAAAAAAAAAAGAAAAAAAAGAAAAAGAGAAAAAAAAAGAAAAAAAAGAAAAAGAGAAAAAAAAAGGAGAGAATAAGTGCAAAGAAGCATAAATAAAATAAAATTACTATACCTTGTTGTTTTTTCTTTTCTTTTCTTTTCCTATTCTTTTTTTATTACTATACCATTTAGATATACGTAACACGTTTAGTCATTCCACTTAATTCAATCTAATAGAAATGCGAAATCGCATACTTTTCGGTAGAGTCAGATTGAAATCAAAGAGAAAGAAAGAAAAAAAAATATATATATATATATATATAAATATATATGTATGTATATTAAAAAAAAAAAAAGATTCCATTTAATTTATCTCAAAAAATGTATCGTATATAATTGACAATAAATATAAAATCATTGCGTCTAGGTTATACATTGTCTTTTTTTCTATCTATTTTTTTTTCTTCTCTTTTTTTTTCTTCTTTTTTCTCTCCCTCCAAACGTACATCATTTACATTTGATGGTACATGGATCATGAAAGATTATTTGGTCAACGTTGATTATTAAAAATATAGAGAAGCGTCTTTGAGAAGTAGTTTTGAATTTTGAAATAAAGGAAATGCGAATGGCGAAGAATCCAAAGGGTTCGAAAAAAAAAGAGTTTTGAACGGCTTTACCGAAATGCATGCAAATGCGCGTGACGGGATACATACGTAAACAGGGGATGAAGAAAGAAAGAAAGATAGAAAGAAAGAAAGAAAGAAAGAAAGAAAGAAAGAAAGAAAGAAACGAAGGAAAGAAGAAGAAGTAGTAGAAGAAGAAAGAAGGACGAAGAAAAAAGAATGGAAATAAAAAAGGAGAGCAAACGTGTGAGCTACAAGAGAAAGAGAAAGAGCTGCCTTAATGCCGACGGCTACTAAAAGTAAAGTAGAAAGAAAGAGTAAGAAAAGAAGGAAGGAAGAACGATGCCAAGCTGTCGTTCTTTTCATCTCTCTCTTTCTCTCTCTCTCTTTCTCTCTCTCTTTCTCTCTCTCGCTTACACGAGATTTGATATCTCTTATATCTCTATCCCTCTCTCTTCCTCTCTC